TATCTATCTATCTATCTATCTATCTATCTATCTATCTATCTATCTATTTATCTAGATGGATGGATGGTTGGATAGATACATACATACATACATGCACACATATGTACACTCAATAATGATTACTCGGGTAAAAAGTTCATAAATTTGAAGGAGATTAGAGAGGGATGTATAGAAGGGGTTGAATGAAGAAATGTAGTTAAATTATAATCTCAAAATCAAAGCTTTCCTAAAGAAAACTGTGTGCTAACTCTTTAAACTTTTTTGGCAGATTACAATCTCTTGCACTAAATCCTTAAAATTTAAAAAAATCCATGATTAACTTTGGTTTCTATTCTTATTTATACAACCTACTCTCCTAGAAGAACATGATAGAAAATGCCTTAGGTATACCCCTTTAAATTCTTATGTATAAGTTTATAGATTTAATAGACAAAAGTAAAATGAAATTTTGGCTAATACTGGTAGTCTCAAACTTCTAATAATCTTGTAATAAAAGGCTTGGTATTCTGTAGTGACTATGTTAATGTTCTCACTGTAGAGCTGGTTGGTCCATAACATCTCAGTTTTGCTGCTCTCCTCTCTCCTGTTACTTCTAATGTCTACCTCCTCCTATTTTCTAACCTCATTGCATAAAAACTTTAAACTCTAACTTCTTTTAAAATGATCTTCATTGTATGCCTGAACAGAGGGAATATTGTTATTCATCTGTAACAAGAAACTCCATCATATGTAGGTTCCAACTAGAAAAGGCTAGGGATCCTCTATATTAAGAGGAAACACAAACCGTATCCAAGTCATACTAAATCACTCAATATTAAGTTGAACATTTCAAAATTACTTAGGATCAAGTGTAAGTTATTTATAATCTGTACATAAACTCTAAAATTTATTTCATTAAAACTGTAACCAATTATGTGAACAACTTTACCACTTTGAAGACTTATGTCTCAGAGAAAGAACATGGATGTCTGAAGGATTTAGATTAGTGGAATACTGACTTCAGTCACAGATTCATCCTGTCACCAAATACTCAGAGGCTGCTTTATTTTATTATTCTTTTTTTGTTCTTCTTTTTTTTTAAAAAGAAATTATTTATTTGTTATATATTTCCACCTCCTCCCCACCTCCCTTTTTCCTCCCCCTCTTCTCCTTCCCCTCCCTCTCCAGTCCTAAGAGCAGTCAGGGTTCCCTGCCCCGTGGGAAGTCCAAGATCCTCCCCGCTCCATCCAGGTCTATGAAGGTGAACATCCAAACAAACCAGGCTCCCACAAAGTCAGTCCATGCAGTAGAATCAAAACCCATTGCCATTGTCCTTGGCTTTTTAGTCAGTCTTAATTGCCAGCCACATTCAGAGAGTCCGGTTTGATCACATGTTCCATCACTCCCAGACCAGCTGGCCTTGGTGTGCTCCCATTATGTCAGTCTCACCATCTCACTAGGTGGACGCACCCCGCGCGGTCCTGACTTCCTTGCTCATGTTCTCCCTCCTTCTGCCCCTCATTTGGACCTTGGGAGCTCAGTCCAGTGCTCCAGTGTGAGTCTCTGTCTCTATCTCCATTCATCGCCAGATGAAGGTTCTATGGTGATATGCAAGATATTCATCAGTGTGGTTATGGGACAAGGTCAGTTCAGGCACCCTCTCCGCTGCTTCCCAAGGAACAATCTAGGGACATCTCCTTGGACCTGGGAACCCCTCTAGAGTAAATTCTCTTGCAAACCCTAAAATGGCTCCCTTAATTAAGATATTTACTTCCCTGTTTCCATATCCACCCTTCCTCCATCCCACCCATTCCATTCCCCCAAGCTCTCCCCAACCCTCCCCTTCTTCCTTCTCTCTACCCATCTCCCCTTACACCCACCCCACTCCCCACCCCCGTGCACTCAACTTTGCCTGGCAATCTTGTCTATTTCCAATATCCGGGAGGATTCACCCGTTTACTAGAAGGGATGTGTTTTGTTTAGGAAACACAAATTTATTTTAAAAATGTTAAATATAGACTGAGCACTTAAATTTCAACAATTACTTAGATTTTTATGTTTATATATAATTTAGAAATTCATATCTAAATTTAATTGTGCATTTATAGAACGATGTGCTTAAGAGGAAATTGAAAACGTGTTGGCTATTAAAAGAATATTATTACCATTTATATTTGGGGTGTTAGTTTTGGGTGTATGCACAACTGTATCTCTGTGTTTATCAATCTCAATTTATACATCAAAAAAACATTGTCTTGCTATTATAAATGCTTCCTATGAGAAGAACTGAAAAGACTGGTGTCTTCAAATAAAAATTTTCCATGTTATTTTTATTATTGGTTTTATTTATAAGAATAAAAACAATTTTATAAGGCTTGGTGAAAAATGAAAAACTCTCTTTTAGTTTTGACAAAAGTATTTATTTTATGTGACCAATTTTACCATTTCCAAGGATGCTAAAAATATGAACATATAAGGTCATACAGACAGTTCCAAAATTCAATATATTAAATTCTAATGTCAGGTAGCACAAGTAGTATATATGCAGCAAGTAGGCATTTATTAGTATTTGTTTTTCTTTTGGAAGAGATATTAATAATTTTTTTAATTCATTGGATGAGAAAAGTAACAGTCTCCAATAATTTTATATACTTAGTTTCTTCAATTTTTTCATGTAAAGATGTTCTCTCAGAAATCTGATGAGTATAATTCTGATAAAATTGCCTCTATTTCTTTGCTTTCTCTTTCTGAAGAGATAGGAAAAAAAGCAAAGTGTTTGCTATCCCCTTTTAACACACTACAATAATTCACCCTAGTCACCAAAATATATGTGGCAATCGGGTTCTCTTTACCAGCCTTATGTCCTTCCAGGGACATCAACAATGAAACCTGTTACTCACTTCAATTCTGACTCCATGTTGCTGGAGATAGTGTCAAATCCCACAGTAGGGAGGCTCAATCCCAGGAAATGGCTACTATGTCTTAGGCCAAGTACACAGAGCAGACTGTAAAACGTCCTTCTGACCTACAGGCTATGAAGCAGAATTGCCATGACTCCCTCCCTGGGTTCAATTAATTTGCTAGAATGTCTCCAAGAAGCACTTCTCTCTTCATTGCGAAGGTTACTGCAAAGGGCACAGATGGACAACTAAAAGAGGGGATGCTCAGGGGAAGGGGTAGAAGTGAAGGACAAACTGGGGAGCCTCAATCTTGGGAATATAAACATCTTATTTATGTTTATTGTTTATTGTTAGTCCTTCTATATTTTCTTCCATGTATATAACTTATTCTATAAAGCTACTGTCCACTGTTATCTTTCTCTTATGTGTCTTACCTCGCTTGCATGTCTGTTAACTCTCCTTCATATCTGCCTATTCTTTTTTTCAGTTTCATAATTTTCATTTTTGTTTTGAGACACTTTTAAACTTGATCAGGGTTATGTAGATTAGAACTGTCCATTGCGTCTTCATACTGTCTTCAGCTGGAGCACATTTAAATGTAACGACTACTTTCTCCATGAATCTAACAGTAGCAAAGAGTTCAGCAGCAAGGTCATTGTTCCTTGTCAGTGGTCATTCCTGTGTGGACCCCATGCCGGTGTCTACAGTTGCTGTGAGTCTGTGATTACAATGACTCTGTCTTGTTCAAAAGATACCATGTCTAGCCCTTCTCCCATTTTCTGTCTCTTCCATTTGTTCTGCCCAATCTTTTGTAGTGTTATCTTAGTTTTATTTTGGATTGAGCCTTCACCCATCACTTATTCTGAACATCTTGTGAAGCTTCTGCATCCATTATCATTCACGGGAAAGAATCTTTTCTGCTTAAGGCTGAGAGTAATATTTCTCTGTGCATATAAATATAAATATTTCAAAAGCAAACTTATGACAAGTCAATTTTGCTCAGTAACAGTATTTAGTTACATTCCAGAGCACAGGTTCTCAGTCTTTTGGTCATTAACCCCTTGGGGGTTGTATATCAGATATTCTGTATATTTGCATTGTGCTTCTAAACAATAGCAAAATCACAGTTATGAAGAAGCAACAAAATTATTCTATGACTGGGGGTCATCACAACATGAAGAACTATACTAAAGGGCCCTAGCATTGGTAAGATTGAAAACCCCTGTTTGAAAGCCTTTGATACCAACCTGCCACATGTGGTTATGACCATATTTACACTATAAGACATTGATTCCTCCCTATAGATCAGGCCTTAAAAACTATCAAATAGCAATTTTTACTAACTTTTCTAAATTAGCACAAGCTGGATTTTGGTGCCTTTTAAAAACTACCACATGGAAGTAAAGAGGTGTTTATATAAATTGTTGGCTTTTGTTCATAAAACATTCGACATTAATTTTTTATTTTTTCTTTCTACATGCATGCTGGATCCAATAGGCCAGAACCTGTTCTGTGGACAAAAGATGGTGCAGAGTTACCAGATCCTGATCGAATGGTCGTGAGTGGTCGAGAACTCAACATTCTTTTCCTGAACAAGACGGACAATGGCACATATCGATGTGAAGCCACGAATACCATTGGCCAAAGCAGCGCAGAGTATGTCCTCATTGTACATGGTGAGTTCTTTGGTAAACATTACATGGGATAGGAGGAAAACCACGAAGAAATGCTAAAATCTGTCAACATTATTAAGAGAATCAGGTAAAAGGTCTTCTTTTTCTTTCAGAAGGACGTATCATGTGTGTGAATGTCTTCAAGATAGACATTTAATGTGTTTCAGGTTTAATTAATAAGAGAAAATTAAAGTATATATGAAAAATAAAGTTAATTTTGTGAAAACCCTTATTATAACTAATTTAATTTGCTATTCAGTAGTGATTTGCGGTTATCTTTAAATTTACTAGATATGATTTTGAGTCATTATCCACAGTATTAGAAAACATTTTTATTAAGCTTACTTCATTTACTACCATTAAAATGTGCTTCCTAAACACTGAATTGCATGACCCAGGAGATAATAATATGCCCTTGGAGTTCAGTAAAGGTGAAAGTTCACAACTGATATGTTTAATTTCTTATGAGTAATAATTTGAAATTTTTTCTGTTGACTACACTTAACTAAAAATTGGTTTGAATGCAAAAAGGGCAGAAATGGGTATGAGTAAAGTAAATGAGAGTTTTACCTTCAAAACACCACAGCTTCTCCATAAGGAGGCTTTAGTGTATGACTAGAAGGGAATGCATCATAAAAACCATAATGAATACAGGTAATGTTCTTTATCTACCTGCCTCTGGCAGTTTCTCATGTATGCCAGAATGCATTGTGAATCTCTAAAAGAAAGATTTACCAACAGCGGTAATGCGTCCCTCATATATTCCACCAGGAAAATATTTTATCAAGCTTACTATTTTATCTTTTGTAATATCACAAAATAATGAACTGTCATTGTATAAAACAAAAAAGTAATAAATTCAGTGGACTTCAAGAATCATAGAAAGAATGTGTTTTGTGTCTTTCATCTGAATCCAAGTTTAAAATGCTGCTAGAAACTTGGATGAGTCAAATACCTTTAGATATAAAGGAAAAATATTGGAGGGGTTAATTATAATTCTTTGATCGAGATTTAATTTTCTGGAAAAAATAATAGCCTTGTTTTGTCATATTTTCAGGTATTCATTTGTTATAATACAATAAGAATGAAGAAAATAATATAATAACATATAGTTCTATTTTCAAAATTGTTGTAATCTAAAACCTCTCTTCTTAACATACCTTGCTATCATAAACAGTGAAGACATGTAGTGCATAGATGTTTTTCACAAATAACACACCAGAAATTGTAGAATTCTGTTTTCCATTTTTACTATGTTGTGAAAAGTTAAAATAATCAATTTTGGGAAACATCACTCATATAATTGGGTTAATTAGACTGGGGTTAAAGGTGGTAAACTCATGTAGGTGAACATGCCACTTTCATTACCAGGCAGAGTATAAAAACTATCTCTTCGGAACTTATGAGCGGGATGCAAGGGTTCTTATGTGTGTATAACACGCACTCTCACCTTAAGTCTGGCATATATGATCCATCTTAAATTGTCTAAGGAAGTGAGAATCCTGCTTCCATGTTGTGTAGCATGACTCATTGGGTTGACAGCAATGCACCTTAAGTCTCTGGAGAATTCAAAGGGAAGTGACTGAGAAATAATATACCTGGATACGTGACATTTTTTTCTTTTAAAGAATTCAAGTAGGGGAAAATTTATGCTATCTCAGTGTTTACAAGCTGGCAATGATTTTTTTCCAATAAGCAAGCTTCCTTTAGGTTCTTAGCATTTGACATATTTCTAATAAATATTTTTCTAAGCACTTTTTAAGAATCATTTTTGGCTTGGCTTTTGAACTCCAATTCATCAAAAGCACCCCATAGATTAATGCTTTTCATGCTGCTAGATAGATGCTGTGAAGTTCAACAGCAGTTTACCTAGTATTACTGAGAGAAGTAATGAGAGGCTCTGCGAAACAGTAAAACCATATAACACTGTGTTTACAGGGGGCTCCAATTGGGTCCATTACAAAATAAAGGGTACTTTTTTCCCTTCGCACACTAGGTATAATGTTTCACTAGTCACTGGTTGTATGAATATAAAAGCTACACTCTTCTGTTAATGGTTTGGCTGTTATGAAACCCCACTAAATGACAAAATCTGAGTGACATTTAGAACTACAATAAATGCTACGTGTGATAATTTGTGATAACTTTACCCTTTCTTTTACACTTACTCCAAGGTTGATTTTCTTTTTTTACAACAGCTTTGATGATTTAACATAACTCTAGTACAAAAAGGGTTTTATGACCTGAGACTCACATCTGAATCTACCAAAGTTGCCTTCATTTATTGATTCCTATCATGATGGAGGTTGGGATACTTTCCTGTAAATTCACCAACCACACAGATGTTAGGCTCTGGTTAGATATAGTCTTCTGGGTGCAATGGTAGTAAATGATGAAGTTTTAGGGCATTTAATTGTAATGACCTTTGATGTTTTGGGTTATACACACTCCAGGTTTTCTTCAACTCCTCTCCCCCATTATATCTTTAAATTTTTCAGCTGTGGAACTACAGATGGTGGCTTAGACTGCTGGCTTAATACTTGACTTCAATGAATGCATCACTGAAAGTCAGTAAACAAGAAAGTATAAGAGGCAGGATTACATAAATGAAGCCTGTGCACTTTTAAAAGTACAGTAAAGGAGATAGCACTTCTCATTAATAAGCTCAGCAATAGAAAAATAAGTCTGTTAATACAAGAATTAGTTATTCTATTCAATTTATATAAGCATCATAGCTCGTTATATTTATTTATAAAATGTTAATAATTCTCTGTTATCCTTTTTATGGAAATCAATATATGTAAAATTGACAGTTATAGCGTTTTATTTCATTCGACTCTTTGTGTTTTGATAATTCTGACCATAACAGCAATTCGTATCAATAATTTGGTATATATCCTCTGATTATAAAGATAATATGAAACTAAAATAATTTGCATTCAACACAATGATAGATTAACGGGGCAAGAAGAAATAACATCAAATAATGAGTACAAAAGTGAAGAATTAAGGAAAGATGGCCAGGTAGACAAGCACAATCTGTGACGGTGCAGAGCAAGTATCAATACTGTAAAAATATACATGCAACACTAGAGTTCCATATTATTCTTAAATAATGGAATACATCAAAAGCAAAATTATTTAGTACAGTATCAGTTACACAGATGTGCCCTGAATTGGACTAGCATTCTTGTGTATCATTGTGAGCCTAAATAGATGACAGCATATTTGACACCAGTGCTTACTGAACAGTCACATAGTAATGTTGTTTTTCCCTCCAAAATCCTTCTAAAATGCAGTATATAGGATATTAATTCAGTACATATTGTTAAATATAAGAAAATTCGAAATTCTTGTGAAAAAAGTCATAGGAAAATTTTGCAACGTCCAACAGCATAAAAGCTAATGATATATTTAGCAGGATAAGTTCACTAAACAGTCTTGTTTCTCTAAGAAAACATTCATTTTTAAGAAACTTCATAAATTATTCTTCCCAAGCAGTGAGTACCCGGAAAAACTACTGAAGGCATCAAAGCAGATAGCTATGGCTTTAAAGAATTCCTGGTTTCCTAAATCATTTTATAGTTGAAAGAAATTAAAATATTTCATATTTTTCTCATCATCTGATTAAAATTATCCTCTTGAGGTGAAGATGAAGAGTGAGATTGCTCACTGAATAAGAGAACTTGTTGCCAAGCCTGAGTAGTTGAGTTTGTTAATGGGACTCAGGTGGCAGAAGACAAAGACCTATTCTGAATAGTTTTTCTTTTATTTAGTTTTACCCCTGGGCCTAGCACGTCTTTTTTTCAAAAAAAAATAATAAAACAACAGAAAATTTGGACTCTTTATTCTTGAAAATATCACAACTATATGAAATATGAAGGCTTTGAGATGTAATATATATGAACAGTGATAAGTCCAAATGTTCCCAAAGCCTAACATTGTTCACTCTTACATTTGTCAGTGTATTTTCATCAGCTCTATGAGAGTTATAAGTTCTGCATCAAATATACAAACACACACATATGATGCTGGAGAATACACAAAATATTCACAATATATATACGTACACACACACATAGAGGTATGTGAGTGAAAGTAGGAGAGAAAGAGAAACAAAGAAGTAAACTTATTAAACAATAATAAGGGAATATTTTCTTCTAACTCCTTTTAAAAGATGGCATATAAAACATTAATTCAGCAGACATTCCAATTTAGAAAATTTAATCACTTCACAATCTTATACTGTGTTTCTTTGAATGAAATCACAGGCTATAAACTTTTCCGTGTTTTAACTTTACATATATACATATATATATACATGTATATATATATGTATATATATTCATTTCTATGATATTTAATCTTTATAGCCATATAAAACATGTGAAATTCTCTACAACTATTAGTTTGATATTATGGATTAAAATAGAATTGTAGTTTGCTTCTATTTTTATTCTCCCAATCAAGTCTCACACTCATTGATTTAATAGCTCTAAAATATCACTGTGCATTTTTGGTTTATTTGTTTCTTCAGGTGTTTCTTGAAATAAACCCTGATAAAAATGGCACAGCCATTGTTTATTGGCAAGATAATTATTTTAGTAATAACACATAACACACATATATATACTATGTGATCCATCATATTTTATTGTTAGTTGGTAAGTTGGTAAGAGCCATTATAAAAATAGTTTAATATTTAAAAAAATTAGTAGTAAAAGAATATTTCTTCTATAAATATCTATGTGCTTTGGAATGAAATGTATCACGTCATTGAGTGTGCCTTTCCAATTTTAAGAGTCAGCTACAATTGCTACTTTCCTTATATTTAGCATTAATAATAAATGTCAATAATGCCCAAAGACAAATGTTCTATAAATATATTATAGAACATAACATCAAGCCCAAACTTCTGAAGTGTGTAGTGCACTGTACCTCTTCAGAGTGTAGGGGAGCGACTATTTTCCACATGGATGCGGAGTACTGAAAGCAAATGACTT